AGTACGCTGGACTTGTGGTCCTGGGTTCGATCCCAGGCGCCGGCGAGAAACAATGGGCAGAGTTTCTTTCACCCCTATGCTCCTGTTACCTAGCTCGAGTTGCTTCCTGGGGATGGAGGCCTGGTCGAGGACCGGGCTGCGGGGACACTAAAAAGCCCCGAAGTCATCTCAAGATAACCACGTCAAGTCTGTTTCCTGAGGAAGATGACGAGGCAGATTTTGAAGGATTTGCGGTGAAGAAAGTTAGCGAGAGGAAAAAATTAAGAGAGGAACTCCTAGCCTATGTCAAGGGGATTAAGTCCACTGAGCTGAAAGCAGAACTGGTGACTGAAATAATAGATAGATGGATAGATTTTGATGAAGCCCCAAACAATCGAAACATGACTGATGATGAAATTATAGAAATAGTACGTACAGCAAAAAAGCCAGAATAGTGCAATGAAGAAGATGGAGAGGAAGAGGATGAAGAAACGTTAAAGGAAAAATGTAATATGGAAAAAGTTCAGCAAAATTTTGAAGACATTCTGGCATTTATGGACACGAGTTACAGCGAGTTTGAAACTAAGGATATGATGACTCTGTACAATTTGTATATGAAGTTTTTAAAAACAAGAGCCAAGGGAATGAAACAAATGTCAATTAAAGAGTCTTTTGCAATGACTTCCAAGAAAGCTCGCATTGCATCACCTGCACCTGACTCATTGCATGTTGACCCAGTCAACCCAACAACTTCAGTCAACCCAACACCATCAACATCCACCACCACCACCTCTTCCATGTAAATAACTATGCTTCATCAGCATCGATCATCAACATCAGCGGATCAGGACTTCAATTATTGGTGAGTACAAACAAAATACGGTCGCATTTACGCTATGAACCTGTCGATTTTTTTCCAAAGAGTTTTTCATAATTTTTAATATTTTTTTTTCCTCCATTTCTCGTATACGAACTTACATGTTAACCGGCAGGTCTCGTCCCCAAGGGGTTTGGAAACCAAGTGGTGCTCTGTATAATACAACATCAGGTGACATTACTTTGAACAATCGAAATGAAAAAAAAATTGTGGTAAAATACGCCTAAACACTGTAAACAATGCCGCAAAAATAAATTTGTGGCAACTCTGGCTGCTTGAAACGCAGCCAGCTGCTTGAGACGCGCGGCGTCTCTGGGACGCACACTGCTTGAGCGCGCACTTGATTTGACGTCATCGCCCAACTTCTCAGCTCATTTACGACATTGGTAAGTAAAATTTTTGTTTTTCCCAGAGATCAGTGAACACAAATGAACACTTATATACAGACGAAAAAAAAATTGGAATTTTTTCTTGTGCCTAGGCATGTTGCAAACTAAAATCACAAGAGCAGCCCAGGGGTTAAGAACAAGGTCGTAGATTTAAACTAGCTAAATAAGGCTTCCGAAGAAATAAAAAAAAATTCACTTTTGCAAACAGAGTGGTAGATGGTTGGAGCAAGTTAGGTGAGATGGTGGTAGAGGCCAAAACCATCAGTAGTTTCAAAGTGTTATATGACAAAGAGTGCTGGGAAGACGGGACACCACGAGTGTAGCTCTCATCCTACACTTAGGTAATTACCAAGCTGGCATGGTGAGTCCTAACAGTAATATCAGCCGCCACACTGTCAACTGACGACGCTACCTCACTGCCAGGATACCTCTTCTCATCTTTCTTTTAACTGGTTATTACACTATACACACGTTATACATAGGTATTTACATTTCTGTTCACCATAATGGACCACTAGCTGGTATGGCGAGTCCAAACAGTAATAGCGGCCACCATACACCAGCCAGCTGATGACTCTACCTCCCTTACCAACATTCCTCCTTCCAGCATACTACACACATCGTAATTCTCATGACAATGCTGCTATTATCAGAATCCTGGTTAATAAATCTTGTAAATAAATAATTTTCCCAAGTTTATTTTTTAAAGGAACATGAGAAGTCGTTTCAAGATGCTTAGATGGACCAAACAATGGCAGCGTGCTGTGGCTGCCTGTCAAGTGCCATGAACATCTTGAACAACATTGTGTTCACTGGAAAACCGATGTAAACCCTTCGTAGCCATGGAAATTTTAAATCTTATGTGGTGCTTAGCTCGCTTATTCAAAGCCCGCTGTTCTGACTCTTTTGGGTTATCCGGCAGTTTTTTAGAAAAGCTAGTAAAAATTTAGAAAGACAGGATGTGGTTGAATGGCTAGAAAGAGATGTCAATGACCTAGGATATGATGTGATGAGCAAAGAAGAGATTCTCTAGCCTGTTACTGGTGAGGTGGATGAAGAGGAGAACGAAGATAACAATAAGGAGCCAACACCACAGACAACAAAGTACAGTTTACTCAAGTCTTCTGTTGACATGCTAATTAATTTTTCATCCTACTGTGCTAATCCAGAAGTTGGAAATATGTATCAGTATCTGAGGCAAACCAAAGAGCTGATCATAAAAGAGAGGCCAATGAACACAGGAAGCAAGCTAAACTTGATTCTTATTTGGTAAGAACAGCAACCAAAGACCCATCAACCAGTGAGGCTTCAGCAGCTGGTAGTCAAAACTTACCTTGTCAAGCTCATGTACTGTACAGTAATTTAAATGTTAATTTTAGTGTTGTGTTAGGTTAGGTTATGTAAATTGTCAAGAATTCTTAACTTCAAGATGTGTAGCATCAATCAAGAAGATAAACTACAACAATATAAGCTGAAGTTTCTGTTTACAATGAATTACAATACTGTGCTTGAATATTTTATAATTACATAAAAGTCTGTGTGTGCCAATTCAAATTATGTTGGTTGTGGTACAAAAAATTGTGAATATGTTAACTTTCGAACTTCCACGGTAAGAATTCTGCTTATCCACATGTCTGGCTTATCCGGCAGGGAGTCCTTCCCATATAATTGGGTTAAGCAAGCTAATACAGTATACAATTAGCGGCAGTCAAGAGTTAAGCTATCTTGCTAAGACTGTTCCATACTAAAAGGTCATATTCAGGTAGTATTTCATTACATTCAATCCTGGGGGTTTTCTCACCTCTATCACAATGGATCCTCAATAATGCAGAGGTTACAGAGTGTGTACTCATCTAGTACACTAGGAGTGTGTTAATGACCTGAAGATAATTTCCAATTTCAAAAATCACCACTGTTGGCTAATGTTATGACCCCAGGCAGCCGAAAAACGACTCTTCCCTTCGAGAATTATTCTATCAAGCCTGACCTGACTAGAAGGTCTAAGAAATATAGAGGTGAAGATACAGATGTAAAATAGTTGGTTGGATTCGATAAACAATTTGAGATTATGGGCAGTAAATAAGAAAATAGATAAATGACTGGTTAGGAGATGTGGATAATTTGCTGGAGGTGTGAGGCTCGCTTAGAGAGGAGCTTAAGTCACTTGAGTACCAGACATCGCGAGGGGAAGCTGCGCTCTGTGTGAGCTCCTGTCAGAGAGGGACCCCTAGTGATATATCTCCAAGAGAAGGGAAGTGTGTAGACGTTCCAGCTGTGGAATCGAGCTGGGAACATTGTGGTCTCAAGTCCTGGACAGCGAGGAGTGTTTATTAAGCCGCCCAGAGACATTATCGTGGGCCGTGGGAGTGACCTGACCAGACTCCGTCAGAGGGAGGAGCGCCCTCGACTAGACAATCTGTGGTTTGTTTTTGGGGAAGAAGTTGCTGAGAACTTCGAAGCCAGCACAGAGGGAGTAGTTGATGAGACTCCAAGGTAGTGGAAGAGTAGGATCTCGAGCTGTGAGGAGAGGCAGTGAAGAGGAGTGTCACGTGCTTCTGTAGAAGTGGTGAAGCACCATAGTTGCTCGAGGAAACTTCATGGTGTAGCAGCCAGGAGAGCTGTGGAGGACCCTAGTAGAAGTGGTGAAGCTCCATAGTTGCTCAAGGAAAACTTCATGGTGTAGCAGCCTGGAGGAGCTGCAGAGGATCCTGGTAGTTAAACCCGGAAGAACCTGAAGAGATCAGGGTAGTGAACTTCCAGATATGGAAGGGAAGTTCTAAATGATTACTTGTAGGGAGTTGTTAGAGTGTTTGGTTGTCATTATCGTGCAAGACGCAGTGAAAGGTGAGTGATTGTTTGCCATTCTTGTGCCAAGGAGTGTTTATACTGAAGTATAGAGTTACAGCTGGATTACCTACAAATGTATGTGTTCTAGGACTGATAGGGTGATCGATTGATCATTGTTGTATATCAAGGAACACTTATAATAATATTTATGTTATTGCATTCATATGCTGATTTTCCTTGCACATGTTTACAGATATATGTTCTCTTGCTGATAGTGCAACATTGTGTTATAAGACTTGATCTACTTGAGGAGGTTGGTAGTATTAGGTGGTGAATCCGGAGATAGGATACCACTTGATAAGTAAATGATGGAGTTCTGATGGTGTTAGAGTGCAACCTGACCGAAATAATACAGAGTGTAGGATTCATTATTATTATTATTTGTGTGTATGTATTGTGTATGTGCTTTGTCCAGTAAATGTAATCAAATTTGCTGGTGTTTGCCCTGGTCCTAGTGAGGCTTCCCAGGATGTAGTAAAGAAGGAGAGAGAGAAAGAACCAAGAACCACTGCTGTGGACAGGGTAAGACGGAAAGCTAATAAGTCAAAGGGGATTGAGGAGATCATATCATATAAGGAGAGAGTGGGGAGTCACAGCGGCTCGAGCGGGTGTGTGCATGTGACAACGAGGCTAAGTATTGGAACCGCATCCCCTAAACGTGTGACGTTGAGCCCCTCTCCAAGAGCCAGAAGCGCCCAGGGTGATCTCCTGGTGAAGTATAAGCACTCTACCGAGTTGTGGGTTCGGTTGTCCGTAAAGAAGGATCAACAACACGACAACACCACCAACCCACAATACAAAACTAATAAGCTAATATTCCTAAGTTATACATTACTATGAACATAAAAAACAATGTTAATAGAAACCCATAATTCCCAGCATTTGAAATTTATTTAATCATAAAATTACTTATTGACATACCTTCTTGCACCCTTTACAATGCTTCCATCCACTGTTGACTCTAGTACAGATGGGGTGTACCTTCCTCTAAAATCAATGGCTTCCATCCAGTCTGAGCCAAATTCAGCATGATCTTCAAGAAACCCAACGACTTGATGCTGAGGCCGTTTAAGCTTTTCAGAAGCCAAAGTATCATCATCTTGCTTTAATGACTTAAAACTGCTCTTTTGTACATATCTGATAACATTTTCTTTTTGTGAGTTGGATTTATTCATACTTTTCAGAAAAGAACTCTCTCTATTAGAGTCAGATGAACATGAATTACAGTGAGATTTTAACCTATTGGAGAGTGATTTTTTATAAGCCTGAAAGCCATGAGGTATACTAAGTTTAACAGCTATGTCTGATACACTTTTGGGATTCCGAGGTAATTTTTCAGTGGTTTCATATAGAGTTTGGGTGGTGGCATTTCTCATGTCAGGCCCTAAAAGGGTTAAGTCTTTTAAGGTTACGAAGTTAAAACTTCCAAAAGAGTCGGAATCAGCACAGTGTGCTTGCAGATTGGAACCCTGAATTAGTGAAGCTGAATCACATAAAAAGATCTGAGATGAAGTTGAAGCATTGCCTTCCAAGTTAAAACGAGGAAGATCTATGTTGAAAGGTGTTGGCACTTGCACACAACTATCTGTATTCTCTAAGAAACACCTCTCTTGTGTAACAGGATTCACTATGGGTGGTACAAGCCTCTTTGATTTTGAAGGATAAACTCTACTTGCTCTATTTAGCTTTCTATCTCTCTCTGTATCATCTTCCATCATGACTAAAATGAATGCAATATATATTACCCAAATGCATTACCAGTACTCATTCTACAATAAGTACTTTATTACAAAAAGTTCACTCTTTCTTTTATGCATCACCACCTCCCTCTGCAAATCACATTATTTTTCAAAGTAGAAATGCAGAAATGTTTAATAATTCACAAAAGTCAAAGTTGACAAAGATCTCTCACTGGTAATTTCCTTTGCTGGGCCATTTATGAAACTGAAAAGAAAAACTTTATTAATATCAGAGTGCAGTACAGTACAGTTCAATACATTTTATATGCTATAAAACTTTAAATAATATTTTTTCCTATATACAATACTGTAATAATAAACTTTGCAAAAACATAGCACCAAGTATAACGAAACTCCCCTTTCTAGGTCAACCCTTCGTACATCACTTTAGCTTACATTACCCTAAGTTACAAGATGAGAGCTACGCTCATGGTGTCCTGTCTTCCCAACACTCTTTCTCATATAACATTTTGAAACTACTAACAGTTTTGGCCTCCACCACCACCTCACCTAACTTGTTCCCAACCATCTACCACTCTGTTTGTTTAAGTAAATTTTCTTATACTTCTTCACCAGCTTTGTTTAGTAACTAAGCTTAGTAGTTTAAAACTACGACCTCCTCTTCTTTAACCCTTCAATTGCGCATCGCATCATATGATGCTTTGACCGACTTGCAGTAAATTGCGCATCGCATCATGTGATGCTTTGGAGTACTACGCAAGATTTAAATGGCCCGCGGATACACGGGGTTCACCACACCTTCATCAGGGCTCTTGTAAACAGACGCCATTTTAAAAAAAAATCGTGGGCCAAACTCCCGGGTGTTAGGGGCCTCAGTATTGAGTCAGCTACCAAGCCTGACGCACGCAGCACAAGCTCACAGTACTGCTGTTCAGCTTGTGACCACAGCATCACCTAAAAATGCCATAATATACTTGTTCATGCTATTATGTAGCGATGATATTATTACAGAAGATCCCTGACTGTGATAAAACTGACCAGGGTTCTGATAATAGCAGGATTGTGGTGATATTTGGCGCTGTGTGCCATGGACGGAAGAGTAATGCTGTGGGAGGGAGGATGGTGGTGTTGTCTTTTGAGTGTGTGTGGCCACCTTTTATTGACTGCACTCACCATACCAGCTTAGTGGTTCGCTATGGTGAACACAAATGTAGATACTTATATATAACGTGTGTATAGTGTGAGATAACAGCAAGAGTAGGAGGTTGGGAGCCGCCATTTTGGTGAGGGTGGAGCATCGTCTGCAGGACTTATCATGTTGTTTACTGATGACCACGATGGTCTTTGGGCACCATACCAGTTTACTTGTACAAGTATGGTGAATAAAACAGGTAGATATTTATATATAATGTGTGTATATAGCATAATAACACCACAAACAGTATTGTTGTAGGAGAAATATTAGTGTGTCTGGCCTTGAGGGCGGCCGCCACCAACTGACTGTGTGAGTAGCTACGTCTTATGGCCTTTACTCACCATACAAGCTTAGATGTACAGTTATGGTGAACAAAACATGTAAATACGTATATATAACGTCTGTGTATAGTGAATAAATACAGAAAGAGTATTGTGGGAGGTAAATGAGAGTGAGTGAGGTGGTGTTGAGGGAGGGAGTGGCAGTGAGTGGCTCGCTGGTGTTTGGCGGTCACTCCTCGTTGCTTTTTGACTCACAAGACCAACTTAGTAGTTTGTTATGGTGAACAAAACATGCAGATACTTATATATAACCTGTGTATATAGTGTAATAACCGACAAAGTATTTTTTCACTGTTTGATGAACATAATTGAATCAACAATATGCACACCATATTTTTGAGTACAGTGATGATTCACTCATTTTATTATAAAAATATATCACACTACACACTATTGAATAATATTACAGCAAAAAAACTACGAAAAATCAATCAGAGACATTGAAATAATTAAGTAATTATCTCTTTGTGGAAACTCTGGCCTGACAGCTGGCGATCAACAGACTGCCTGGGACGCACGCTCAGTCAGCGCCTGATTTTTGCCACACTTCCCCGCCCTATAGTGGGCAATATATGCCACTTACGATTTTTTTATTATTTTTCCCGTGATCAGAGAACACAAATTACCAGGTTAGGAAGAAAAAAATTTTTTTTTTTTTTTTTTTTTGGTATGTGCCTGTGGGTGTCAAATGGTATATAGCTATGCGCCATCAGCTGGTGGCGGCCGCCCTCGAGGCCAGACGCACTAATATTTCTCCTACAACAATACTGTGTGGTGTTATTACGCTATATACACACATTATATATAAATATCTACCTGTTTTATTCACCATACTTGTACAAGTAAACTGGTATGGTGCCCAAAGACCATCGTGGTCATCAGTAAACAACATGATAAGTCCTGCAGACGACGCTCTACCCTCACCAAAATGGCGGCTCCCAACCTTCTACTCTCGCTGTTATCTCACACTATACACACGTTATATATAAGTATCTACATTTGTGTTCACCATAGCGAACCACTAAGCTGGTATGGTGAGTGCAGTCAATAAAAGGTGGCCACACACACTCAAAAGACAACGCTACCATCCTCCCTCCCACAGCATTACTCCTCCCTCCATGGCGCACAGCACCAAATATCACCACAATCCTGCTATTATCAGAACCCTGGTCAGTTTTATTACAGTCAGGGGTCTTCTGTAATAATATCATCGCTACATAATAGCATGAACAAGTATATTATAGCATTTTTAGGCGATGCTGTGGTCACAAGCTGAACAGCAGTGCTGTGAGCTCATGCTGCGTGCGTCAGGCTTGGTAGCTGACTCAATACTGAGGCCCCTAACACCCGGGAGTTTGGCCCACGATTTTTTTTTAAATGGCGTCTGTTTACAAGAGCCCTGATGAAGGTGTGGTGAACCCCGTGTATCCGCGGGCCGTTTAAATCTTGCGTAGTACTCCAAAGCATCACATGATGCGATGCGCAATTTACTGCAAGTCGGTCAAAGCATCATATGATGCGATGCACAATTGAAGGGTTAAATGAATAATTGATCACAAGTTTATTTTGAAAAGGAACCTAAGAAGTCGTTTGAAGATTCCTAGATGGACGAAATAATGCTGTGGTGCTGTGGCTAGCGCTGTGAACATCGTGAACAGCATTGAATCACTGATATTTGAACATTGTACCCAGTCATTATCACACTCAGGCTCTTCTATAATACTATCATGGCTAAATAATACAGGTTATATATATATTTTGATATTATTAGGCGATGCTGTGGTCACACGCTGAACAGCAGAGCTTTGCGCTCATGCTGCGAGCACCAGCCTTGGTTGCTCACTCACTACTGAGGCTCTCATACCCGGCAATGTGGACCATGATTTTTTTAAAGATGGCGTCTGTTTACAAGAGCCCTGAGGAAGCTGGTGTGAACACCATGTAGCCGCGGGAGTTTTGAATGGAACGTGAAAAATAAAAACACCCAGAGGCACGTTGCACACCCGAAGCCTGGGCCTGCAGGCGCATTGCACAGTTAAAGGGTTAAGTTCCAAGTCTCAGGAATTCTTCCCTACCAATTATATCGATTCTCATTACTATTTTGTACGTAGTGATCATATCACCTATTTTTCTTCTAGTTTTGGCATATATAATGTCTAACCTCTCCTTGTAGCTCTTGTCTTTCGGTTCTTGGAGCCATTTAGTTGCATATCTTTGCACCTTTTCCAGTTTGTTGATGTGCTGCTTAAGATATGGGCATCATACAACCGGTGCATATTCCAGCTTTGGTCTCAATAAGGTCATGAACAATTTCTTTAGTATTTCACCATCCCTGTACAGTATTTAAAACCAATTCTGAACTTGGAAAGCATAGCATAGGCTCCTCACACAGTGTTCTTTATGTGGTCCTCAGGTGACAGTTTTCAATCTAGAACCACCCCTAGATCTCTTTCTTCATCTGAATTATTTAAGGCTTATTCACATAATTGTAGGTTGTGTGCGGTCTACAGTGGATCCGTGGGTTATGAATGCCCCTGTTTGACACCTGCTTGATGGCATTCTGGAAGTTCTTCTACTCCCCAAGCTCGGCCCGAGGCCAGGCTTGACTCATGAGAGCTTGGTCCACGAGGCTGCTGCTTGGAGCGGCCCATAGGCCTACATATCCACTACAGTCCGGTTGGTTCGGCACCTCTTTGAGAAAATTATCTAGTTTTCTCTTGAATTGTCCACGGTTGTTCCAGCAATATTTCTTATACTCGCTGGGAGGGTGTTGAACAACTGTGGATCCCTGATGTTTATAGTGTTCTCTGATTGTGCCTATGGGACCCCCTGCTCTTCACTGGTTCTATTCTGCACGAATAGGAATTCATTTATTTACGAATTTTTACGAATTTACTATTTACAAATTTTTGGGGTTACGAGCTCAATTTCCTCATAAAATCTGATTCGGTTTACAAGCTTGCCTCGAGTTGCGAGTTTGTTGATACACATATGGGTTGACCGAGTGCATGGTTCCTGGTGGAACAGGTGACGTGCTTCAGTTTACCCTTGGCCACCCATGTATAAACGATCGTGCATGAATTGGTAGTGAAAAATTTCATTGTTTTTCAGCATTTTTTGTTTCTAAACATAAAAGTAATTATTATATACCATGCCATGGGTCCTAAGAAAATCAGTGGTAAGGTTCAATCTAAGAAAACACATGTGAGGATAACCATAGGGTAAAACAAGTATCTATGGAAAGGTTCTTAGTGAGACAAACAAGCAGTGAGCCACAACCAGGTCGTAGTGGTATGCAGACAAAACGTAGGAAAGAGAGTACCCCAGAGAAGTCATCACTGCCTGATGTTATAATGGAAGGGGACTACCCTTCCAAACACTAACACCTCCCCCCCCACCCCCCGCCTCACCGTCTTCCATACGCAAACAAGAGTCATCAGTAAAGGTAAGCTATAATTTTTACGTACAGTATGTTAAATGAAGGAAATTCGTTTTGAATGACGAGCATTTCACATGACGAGCACGGCGCCGAAACGGATTAAATTCGTTATTCGAGGTATCACTGTACTATTTATTGTCCAACTTTTGTATGAATCAAAAGATGTGTTGATGTATAAAATGAGAGTGGAATGGACACTGATCATTCAGAACTCACACAGATACAAACAAATTTTGTTGCCTCTGGATTTTCATCTAAACCAATCTGTGGCCAAGTTCCCTTTGTTGTTAACTTTGTGTAGTTAACTCCATTGGGATTAACTGTACAAAGATTGTGGGGTATAGGCTTAAGTAAGTTGTTGATGGGGCAAACCCAGAAATAAAGCATTGATTGGAATGAAACGCCCCTATCTGGTTTGCACCTCAGTAGCTCCTTTCTTCTGGCTTGGATTTCCAGTTACCATTTTATGAGGTGAGTTTTGGCTTGAGTGAGAG